CCTTCTTGGCCTCCGCATGTGACTGGCCGACGCGTCCGGGGTTTCGCCCCGTCGCCCCCTTTCCTCGCCGCCTCGTGCGCTGGCTGGCGTCGCCGGGGTTCCGCCAGGTTGCCGCCCGCGGCCGCCTCGTCGCCGCCTCGTCGTTTGCCTCGTCGCCCTCCCCGTCGGCGCCCCAGGGGCGCCTCGTGGCTGCCTCGTGGTCGCCCGTCGGCGCCTCGCGGCCGCCCGTGGCATACCCGGCATGCACCGCCTCGAAGGCACCACGCAGACTGCTTCACACAGCTCGCATCACATGGCTCGCACCGCTTAGATTTCACCGCACAGCCGACACTCTAGACCTTTCATACCACGGCTTGCGCATGGATGGCGCCACGCAGCTTTCATGCCATACCTTGCGCCACACCGAGTGCACCACACATCTGATACCACACGGTTCTCACCACACAGCTTGCACCACGTCGCCCACCCCACCTGGCTTGCACCACATAGTTTGCTCTATGTATCTGGCACACCAATGTCTGCTCCACATAGCTTGCGCCACCTAGCTTCCACCGTATAGCTTTCACCACATGCTTCCACCACAATGCTTGCACCACGGTTCTTACACCACATAGCTTGCACCACATAGCCTTCACGTCCGCGTATCCCCACCAGCCCATTCAGACACGATCGGAGGCTTTCTTGAGGCCTCTTGGAGGCTATCTTGAGCCATGTTCGGCTAGAGGCTGTCGGATACTATCCTGAGCCATGCTCAACTATTTTGGGCCGTCTTGAGGCTGCCTTGAGGCGGAGGCTATCCTGAGCCATGTTCGACCTCCTGGGACCATCTTGGGCGTAGGAGGATGAGGACGAGGATGAGGATGAGGATGAGAATGAGGAGGAGGAGGAGGAGGAGGAGGAGGAGAAGGAGGATGAGGATGAGGAGGGAGGAGGAGGATGAAGAGGAGGAGGAGGCGGAGGAGGAGGAGGAGGAGGAGGAGGAGGAGGGAGGAGGAGTAGGAGGAGGAGGAGGACAACGAGAGGAGGAGGAGGAGGAGGATGAGGATGACGAGGATGAGGAAGAGGAGGAGGAGGCGGAGGAGGAGGAGGAGGAGGAGGAGGAGGAGGAGAAGGAGTAGGAGAGGAGGAGGAGGAGGAGGCGGAGGAGGAGGACAACGAGAGAAGGATGATGAGAATGATGATGCTGAGGATGATGATGATGATGCTGATGATGCTGATGATGCTGCTGCTGCTGCTGATTTTGATGATGATGAGGATGCTGCTGACGATGCTGATGCTGCTGACGATGAGGTTGCTGATGCTGACGATGATGGTATGTTTCTGATGATGCTGTTGATGATAATGACGATGATGTTGATTTTGCTGATGATGCTGGTGATGATTATGATGACGATGCTGATTATGATTATGATTCTGACGATAATCGGGATGATGATGATGCGGATGACGAGTATGATGATGATGAGGGTGATGATGATGCTGATGCGGATGACGATGCTGCTGATGATGATGTGGATGACGGTACTGATGATGATGACGATGCTGATGCTGATGATGATGCTGCTCATGATGCTGCTGCTGATGATGATGATGAAGACGATGATGGTGATGCCGATGCTTCTGATTATGCCAATGAGGATGTCGCTGATGTTTCTGATGCTGATGATGATGATGCTGATGCTGATGCTGCTATTGATGTTGCTTATGCTGATGATGATGCTGATCATGACGATGATGCTGATTAGGATGATGATTCTGATGCTGATGATGATGCTAGTGCTGCTGTTTCTGATGATGCTGATGCTGATGATGATGATGATGCTGATGACGATGCTGATGCTGATGCTGCTGCTGCTGCTGATGATGATGATGACGATGGTGATGATGCTGATGCTGATGCTGCCTTGTGGCCTCTTGGAGGTCAGTGGGAAGCTAGTTTGAACCATCCTCGGCTATCTCGAGTCATCTTGGAGGCCGTCTAGGGCTGCCGAGGGCCCTCTTGGAGCCATCTTGGGCCCACCTTGAAACTCTAACTCCCCGCCCTCCCCCCTTCCCAGGCCCAGGGGAGGGGGTAGGAGGAGGGGTACCCCCCTCCCCCGAGCAGGCGAAGAATGGGGAGAGAAGATGCAACTCGTTAAGCCGCCTACGCCCCAAGGGCGGGTGGGATTAAGTACTTGGGATCCACGCTGGCATACCTTCACAATGTATGTATGTATGTATGTATGTATGTATGTATGTAGGTAGGTAGGTAGGTATGTATGTATGTATGTATGTATGTATGTATGTATATATACACATATGCACACCTATATACATATAGGTATACGGATATGTTAGGGAGCAGGGGAATTGCTACTGCGGAATAGCATGGGAGCAGGGGACATGCTTCTGCAGAAGAGTGTGTGCCGGCGAAGTCGGGGCCGAGGATCTGGTCGTGGTTGATAATCTGTGCGATCACATGATCGGCAACGTGTACGTGCCGCTTGCATGTTTATCTGCTTTCTTGCGAACTTTCCTTTGTCTCGGTTCTGATTTCGCTGCATGCTGAATGATTTCCTGGTCCTTCGGTTGATTCCTTCTCCTCTCCCTCTCATCTTTTCCAATTCCTCTGCACCCAGTTCTCTCCCATCCCGAATGCCAGTAGCGATTTACGTAAAAGCGACAGAGGCATGACGTGGAGGACGTGCGCAATGATGATACTTGTGTGAGAGGGAGGAGGAGGATCGGGAGAAGGATGATTCCCATCCCCCTTCTCCTTCCCCTCTTCCTCCTCCTGTCTCTCCCGCCCCCCTACATGCCATGTATATCATCGTCCCCTTCTCCATCGCCCTTCTCCTTCCCCCCCACCCCCTCCCATTCCGTACATTTGCGCAGTACGAACAGTACTCTTTGCCTTCTCTTCCCGAATATGTCTTTAGAGTGGCGGCGCGCCCCCTCCCGCGCATTTTTTTTTTTTTTTTTTTTTTTTTTTTTACGCAGGATTATTCTGCTTTTTTTGTAGTGTTTGTCCACTTCGGACGTTCGCGGTCCTTTATGCCCCCCGCTGCGGCGTGGCTTCGCTTGAGGATCTGTGCATTGCCCCCGTCCTGCAGTGCGCTCTCGCCTCGGCGCGGGCCACTTGTCGCTGTCGTGCCCTTCCTAGTCCCTCACCCGCCTTCGCCGTGTCCTCCTGCTCCTCCCGCTCCTCCTCCTGCTGCTGTAGTTCCTCCTCGTCCTCTTCATTCCTCATCTTCTCTTCTCTCTCCTGCTCATTCTCCTGCTCATCCGCCACCTCCTCCTCCCATGTACGAAGGTTCCAAGTTCATAGTGCGCGTGCCACGATGGGGTCCCTGTGGGTGTTCCAGGTCCGCTATTATGTGAGAACGAGTCAGCGCAATTGGAAGGAATAGGAGGAGGGTTCGGATGTCAGATTTGGCGCGAGCGCACCTAGCTTGCCTCCCCCCTACACAACGACATCATATGAATGCTACTCTCCTCTCTCCCTTGACTCTGCCCGGGGGTATCGGACCTTCTCCGCGCGTGCTGTTCCCACACATCGGATTTCAAAAGTTGGAATTGCCGACGTGCTTCTTCCCAACCGTGCTGTGGTGTTGGGTCCTCATTTTGAGGAGACAGCGCTCCGCGTTCCTTCTTCCGCCTCCCCTTTCTCCCTGCGCATGTCGGCCAGTTCGGCACCACTCACACGTTTCGTGGCCCCATAGGGAGCTCCATGGAAGGCCACATGCCAGCGTTCGCATGGCGTACCCCCACCCGGTTCGGCACACCTCTTACACGTTTCGCGGCCCTATAGGGAACCAAGGTCAACATGCCAGCGTTAGCCTGGGGAGGTGGGTGCCGTGCATGAGGCCGAAGGAGGCGGAGGAGGAGGAAGAAGCAGCAGAAGGCGAGCACGAATAACAAGACGACGATGGTGATGACGACGACGACGATTACTACTACTACTACTACTACTACTACTACTACTACTACTACGACTGCTACTACTACTGCTACTGCTACTATTACTACTTTAGTTCTGCTACTATTATCATTAATATTCTTATTGTTACTGCTGCGGCTATTTGTATTTGTGTTACTAGTTGTACTACTACTACTACTACTACTACTACTACTACTACTACTACTACTACTACTACTACTACTACTACTACTACTACTACTACTACTTTTACAGCTACCGCTATTATTATTATTATTAGTAGTAGTAGTAGTGTTATTATTAGTAGTAGTTGTAGTCGTAATAGTAGTAGTAGTAGTAGTAGTAGTAGTAGTAGTAGTAGTAGTAGTAGTAGTAGTAGTAGTAGTAGTCGTAGTAGTAGTAGTAGTAGTAGTAGTAGTAGTAGTAGTAGTAGTAGTAGTAGTAGTAGTAGTAGTAGTAGTAGTAGTAGTAGTAGTAGTAGTAGTAATAACAATAATACTAAGAACAAGAAGAGTAATACGCCGAATGCGAATCCGGATACTACGAACACTAATACGGACATGAGGATTACTTGTAAGACGAAGACGAACGATACTACGCATACGAATACGCATACGACGAAGCATACGAACACTAATACAAACATACTAAGAGGACAACACTCAATCATACTATTAATAATACTAAGCGTATAAGCATCAATGCACACGCACACATAAAGTACACATACTCATACTACTAGCACGATATCAAGCCATAGCAACACCAATGACACTGATGCTATTGCTAATGATACTAGTACAAATACTATACTAGTACTAATCATACTCCTAACACTAATACTAACACTTACGATTCATACTACTATTACTAATCAGTATAGGAATCATGATAATAACGATACAAAAGTATTAATACGATATAATCGTCATTGTAATACTGATACACATGAAAAAATAAAGTTAGTACTAATGCGAACCATGGTAATACCAATACTGCGAATCTTGTTATTGATAATAATACGGGGAGGAGGAAGAGGAAGAGGGGGAGAAGGGGGAGGATGCGGATGATGATGAGGAGGAGGATGAAGAGGAGGAGGAGGAGGAGGAAGAGGAGGAGGAGGAGCAGGAGGATGAGGAGGCGGGGCGGAGGTGGAGGAGGAGGAGGATGCGGATGCGGAGCTGGAGGCGGAGGAGAAGGAGGAAGAAGAGGATGATGAGGAGGATGAGGAGGAGGAGGAGGAGTAGGAAGAGGAGGAGGCGGAGGAGGAGGAGGGGAAGGAATAGGAGGAGGAGGAGCAGGAGGATGAGGAGGCGGGGACGGAGGCGGAGGAACAGGTGGAGGAGGAGGAGGAGGACGATGAAGACGAAGGCGAGGAGGAGGAGGAGGAAGAGGAGGAGGAGGACGAGGATAAGGAGAAGGAGGAGGAGGAGAAGAGGAGGAGGAGGAGGTTCCAGAGGAGGAGGAGCTGGATGAGGAAGGAGGAAGGATGAGGAGGATGAGGAACATGATAGGGAAGACGAGGAGGCAGACGAAGAGGAAGAGGACGCGGAATAGGAGGAAGAGGAGGATGAGGAGGAGGCGGAGGATGAGGAGGAGGGGGAGGAAGCGGAGGAGGATGGAAGCAGGTGGTGATGGTGATGCCGATGATGATGGTGAGGATGAGGAGGAGGCTGGTGATGCGGAGGAGGCGGAGGATGAGGAGGATGGTGATGCCGATGATGGTGATGATGCCGATGCTGATGGTGATGAGGCTGCTGCTGCTGCTGCTGCTGATGATGATGATGATGATGATGATGATGAGGTCGATGACGACGATGTTGATGATGATGGTGATGATAACGATGCTGATGAGGATGATGCTGATGCTGTTGATGATGCTGATGCCGATGACGATGACGATGATGCTGATAATGATGATGCTGCTGCTGATGCTGCTGCTGATGATGATGATGATGGTGCTGCCACTGATGATTGTAGTGATGCTGACGATGATGATGCTGATGCTCATGCTGATGCTGAGGATGGTAATGATGATACTGACGATGCTGCTGATGATGCTGCTGATGATGATGCTGATGATTGTGGTGATGATGCTGACGACGATGAGGATGATGATGCTGATGCTGCTGATGTTGAGGATGATGATGCTGATGATGATGCTGTTACTGCTGCTGATGAAGATGATGTTGATGCTGATGATGCCGATGCTGCTGATGATGATGATGATGATGATGATGATGATGATGCGAATGATGATGCTGATGATGATGATGATGAAGATGATGATGATGATGATGACATGGTTCAGGAGGATGCGGAGGAGAATGATGATTAGGATGACGAGGAGGAGGAACATGTGGATGACGATGATGAGGATGCAGTGACGGAGGCGAAGGAGGAGGGAGAAAAGGATGATGATGCTGATGAGAAGAAGGAGGAGGAGGAGGCGGTGGAGGAAGATGATGAGAATGATGAGAAGGATGAGGATGAGGATGATGAGGAGGAGGAATATAAGGAGGATACTGAAAATTGTGAGGATGAGATGCTGCTGCTGATGATGATGATGATGATGACAATGATGATGATGATGATGATGATGCTGATGATGATGATGACGATGATGATGACGATGATGATGTTGATACTGATGATGATTATGATGATATCGATGGTACTGCTGCTGATGATGATGATGATGATGGTGCTGCTGCTGCTGCTGCTGATGATTATCATGCTGGGGCTGATGATGTTGATGATGATTATGCTGATGCTGATTCTGATGCTGATGCTCATCATGATGAGCATGATAGTGCTGATACTGAGGTTGATGATGCTGCTATTGATGCTGGTGCTGATGCCGTTGCTGATGCGAATGCTTATGATGCTGCTGCCGATGATGATGCTGATGATGCTGATGCTGCTAATGATGATGATGCTGATGATGATGAGGATGATGACGATGCTGATGATGATGCTGGTGGTGGTGGCGGTGATGCTGATGATGATGACGAGGATGATGATGAGGATGAGGAGGATGATGAGGGTGATGAGGATACCGATGAGGATGCGGATAAGGATGCTACTCATATTGATGGTGATGATGTTGATGCTGCGGATGATGACGATGAGGGTTGTGATGGTGATGCTGCTGATCATGCTGATGACGATGATGATGATGATGATGATGATGATGATGATGATGCTGGTGCTGATGATGATGACGACGCGGATGGGGATTCGGCTGATGCTGATGCGGATGCTGATGCTGATGATGATGCTGCTGACGATGACGATGCTGCTGCTGATGATGATGATGATGGTGAGGCTGATGCTGCTGATGCTGCTGATGACGATGGTGATGCTGATGATGATGATGATGATGATGATGATGATGATGCTGATGATGCTGATGATGATAATGATACTGATGATGCTGCTGTTGAGGATGATGATGCTGATGAGGATCATGATGCTGATGATGATGTCGATGACGATGCTGCTGATGATGATAACGATGCTGATGCTGCTGCTGATGATGATGCTGATGCTGATGCTGATGATGCTGATGGTCATGATACCGATGCTGATGATGATGGAGCAGGAGGATGAGGAGAAGGAGGGGGATGAGGAGGGCGGAGGAGGATGGAGAGGAGGATGAGGAAGAGGAGGAAGAGGAGGAGGAGGAGGAGGAGGGGGGGGGCAGAGGACGAGGAGGAGGAGGAGAGTATGATGATGATGATGCCGATGACGATGATGATTACGAGGATGAGAATAATTATGCGGATGATGATGAGGCTGATGATGCTGATGATGCTGATGATGCTGATAGTGAGGATAATGCTGATAATGCTTGTGATGCTGATGATTATGCTGATGCTGATGAGGATGATGCTGATGCTTATGAGGCTGATGCTGATGCTGACGATGCTGCTGATGATGATCCTGATAATGATAATGATGATGATGCTGATGATTATGATGACGAGGATGATGAGGATGATGCTGGTGATGATAATGCTGATGATGACGAGGATGATGATGATACTGATGATGATGATGCTGATGCTGATGCTGATGATGATGATGATGGTGGTGGTGGTGATGATGATGATGATGGTGGTGATGATGATGCTGCTGTTGAAGATGTCGATCATGTCGATCATGATGATGATGATGATGATGCTGATGATGATGATGATGATGATGATGGTGATGGTGGTGGTTGTGGAGGTGGTGATGGTGGTGATGATTATGGTACTGATGATGGTGATGATGGTGATGCTGCTGCTGATGATGATGACGATGACGTTGATGACGATGATGATGATGATGATGATGATGATGATGATGATGATGATGCGGATGACGATGATGATAATGATGTTTACGACGCTGCTGATGATGATGATGATGGCGATGAGGATAATGATGATGCTGATGATGCTGATGATGCTGCTGCTGATGATGATGATGATGATGGCGAGGATCATATTGACGATGACGATGATGATGGGATGATGATGACGATGACGATGCTGTTGATGATGATGATGATGATGATGATGATGCTGATGATGATGATGACGATGATGATGATGATGATGATGATGATGATGATGATGAGGATGAGGATGAGGATGAGGGGATGAGGATGATGATGAGGATGAGATGATGAGATGATGATGATGATGATGATGATGATGATGATGATGATGATGATGATGATGATGATGATGATGATGATGATGATGATGATGATGATGATGATGATGATGATGATGATGATGCTGATGATGATGATGATGATGATGATGATGGTGGTGGTGGTGGTGGTGGTGGAGGAGGGCGGAGGAAGATGACGACGATGAGGAGGCGGAGCAGGAGGAGGACGAGGAGGAGGACCAGTGTAAACCCAAGAGCCATAAACGATGTTGGAGTACACTCTCCCTCCAAGCTCCCTCCTCATAGGCCCCTACAACGGTTCATTTCCATTGCGGGATTTGCCTCGTTGGAAGACAACCGATCCGGAAGCATGCCAAAGCATGGTTCTCGGGATTCCAACGCCACGGATCAACTTGATTTTTGCTTTTTGACGATCTTGGATCGTGCCAAAACGCCATTCTTGGGATTGCAACACCGTCAATCAACGTAACTGTGGCCCCCGCAAAATCCGGATTCCTAAGTTTTGGTACGTTCATCGTGGGAATCTGTGGAACTCTTGCGAATTTTATGAACGAATGTGCGCGGCGTTCAGGCGAGAGCCACATTTTCAAAGGAGCCGCCCTCAATCCGTGAAGCTCTTGCACATTCTTAGACTAAGAGTGCACGGCGCTAAGGCGAGAGCCACACTTGGAGAACGGGTTATCCTCCATCCGTGAAGCTCTTGCACGTTTTTACAACGAGTGTGCGCGGCGCTAAGGCGAGTGCCACAAGTTGAAAACGGGTTCTTGTCAATCTGTGAAGCTCGTTTTTTACAACCAATGTGCGCGGCGCCAGGGCGAGAACCTCAAGTTGGAAACAACTCGCCCTCCATCTGTGAAACTGTAGCCAATTGTTAAGTTCCAGAGTCATAAATGGTGAGGAAGTCTCAGGCGAAACGCCCGCCCCGCCCTGAAAAGAGGCCTCGGGGTGCGACGGGGAGAATTTATTGATGAAAATCAAGGATGAAGGAGGCGGAGGACGAGGAGGAGGAGGACGAGGACGAGGAGGAGGAGGAGGAGGAGGAGGACGGGAGGAGGAGAAGGAGGAGGAGGAGGAGGCGGAGTAGGAGGAGGAGGAGGCGGAGGGGGAGGAGGAGAAGGAGAGGAAAGGAGGAGGAGGGGGGAAAGGAGGAGAGGAGGAGGAGGAGGAGGGAGGAGGAGTTGGAGGAGGAGGAGGAGGAGGAGGCTAGAAGGAGGCGGAGACGAGGGCGTAGGCGGAGGCGGAGGCGGAGGCCTGAGGTGGAGGAGGAGGGGGAGGAAGAGGAGGAGGTAGTAGTAGTAGTAGTAGTAGTAGTAGTAGTAGTAGTAGTTGTAGTAGTAGTAGTAGTGGTAGTGGTAGTAGTAGTAGTAGTGGTAGTAGTAGTAGTAGCTAGTAGTAGTAGTAGTAGTAGTAGTAGTAGTAGTAGTAGTAGTAGTAGTAGTAGTAGTAGTAGTAGTAGTAGTAGTAGTAGTAGTAGTAGTAGTAGTAGTAGTAGTAGTAGTAGTAGTGGTAGTAGTAGTAGTGTAGTAGTCGTAGTAGTCGTAGTCGTAGTCGTAGTCGTAGTAGTCGTAGAAGTAGTAGTAGTAGTAGTAGTAGTAGTAGTAGTAGTAGTAGTAGTAGTAGTAGTAGGTAGTAGTAGTAGTAGGTAGTAGTAGTAGTAGTAGTAGTAGTGGTGTAGTAGTAGTAGTAGTAGTAGTAGTAGTAGTAGTAGTAGTAGTAGTAGTAGTAGTAGTAGTAGTAGTAGGCGTAGTCGTAGTAGTAGTAGTAGTAGTAGCAGTCGTCGTAGTCGTAGTCGTAGTCGTAGTCGTAGTAGTAGTAGTAGTAGTAGTAGTAGTAGTAGTAGTAGTAGTAGTAGTCGTAGTGGTGGTAGTAGTAGTAGTAATATCAGCATTAGTAGTAGCAGTCGTAGTCGTAATAGTAGTCGTAGTAGTAGTAGTAGTAGTAGTAGGAGGAGGAGGAGGAGGAGGAGGAGGAGGAATCAGGATGACGAGAGAGTGGGAGGGCAGGTCTGGGGAGTCGGGGGGGACGGAGGAGGAGAGTTGGAGGAGGCGGGCAGGAGGAAGGGGAGGATGATGATGATGATGATGATGATGATGATGATGATGATGATGATGATGATGATGATGATGATGATGATGATGATGATGATGATGATGATGATGATGAGGAGGAGGCGGAGGAGGATGAGGAGGAGGAAGTGGTGGTGGGGGGGAACCAGCAGCGGGCGGGCAATCAGGGGAAACAGCGAGTGAGGACATGGAGGAGGGTTCGGGGGTTGGTTAGGGTGAGGCCACGAGGCTCCCGCCAGCTTTTCCGGACCTTTGCCGCCCTGTCCCGTTTCCCCGTGTGCGCCCCTATTGCAGGCATCCTTCAAGCCGTCTCAACTCGAGCTTCTGTTAAGTCAAGGCGAGTGAGGAGGGGGGGGGAAACCCGATATACGTGGTCAGCCACACGCTCCGTCCCTCTCCCTCCCTACCTCGGTCCTCCGAGTGCTTGGGTAGGGGGGAAGTGGTGGGTCCATCTCCCGTCCTCCCCCCCTTCGTTTTGAGCCAGAGGCGCTCCCAGGCGTCGAGTGCCCGCCTCTGGCCTTTCCTTGATGGCGGGATGGAGGGAGGCCTTGACCGGGTGGGCTGGGAATGGGCATCTGCTGCCTTCCCCCCCCTCTCCGCCTTTCTTCGACGACCCGCCTGCCCGCCCGCCGACGCGTTTGGCCAGACCGTTGGGATGATGAGGAGGAGCAGCACCGGCAGCACCAGTAGCTAGCAGCAGTAGGTAGCATCATCACTGGTGTCTTGCACGTGTGTGATTGTTGGACTCTTCCGATGTGTTCCGAGGAGGAGGAGGAGGCGAGGGAGGAGGAAGAGGACGAGAAGGAGGAGGAACAGGATGAGAAGGAGGAGGGGGTTGGAGGAGGGGCAGGGCGGGGAGAGCGGGGGGAGGATCTGGCTTTCGGGAGGAGGGCAACTGGCTGGTCGTGCTGCTACCCGTCGCACTTGGGCCCATTCGCTCGCTCGCTCCATTGTTTCTCACCCTTTGCATGCAGTCTCTTGTCTCCTTGTTTTTTTTGCCTTTTGCATCTTGCCTGTTCTCCCTCTTTGCTTTCGCTGGCCAACGGGATCCTGTGGTTTTGACACTTGAGTTGTCGCTGGCTTGTCGAGCCCGCTCGAGCAATGGCGAGGAGGAGGATACAGGGGGCCTAGCACGCTGATCCTCTCCCTTGGAGCCCGCTGCTTGCCAGGTCAAGTATTACCACGAGGAGGATGCCGAGCGCGCGCTGATGAAGTTGACAGGCCGTTTTTACAGCGGCAAGCTTATGCAGGCGGGCCGAAAGGGAGAGACTGGGGCGAATGCGAAGGCAGAGTGGCGAGACCCTCCCAGGGACAGGAGCAAGAGGAGGATAACAAGGAGGAGGGCCACTGTAGAAGATGGGTGTAGTGTTGAAAACGGAGGGCGTCTGGTATATGGGTGATGTGTTGGAGACAAAGCTTGGTGAGTAGGTGGAAATTTGAGGGTTCCGACTGGGGTAATCCGAAATTGTTGTGGACGCGCAAGAATTCATACAGAGAAGGCAAGAACGGGGGATCATGCTGGGATCAGTAGTATGTCCTGGTTATGCATCATCTATATATGTATATGTATATACACGCATGTGTCTATACATACATACAGCGTTTATACGTTTACACATACACATACCCGGCAGTATGCATGCTTGAATATATGTATGCATGGCATTCATGCGTGTATATATTTATGTAAAGTTGTGCAAGTATATTTATATATACATATATATATATATATATGTGCATGTATGCATGCATGCATGCATGCATGCATGTATACATGTATGTATGAATGTCTGTCTGTATATATGCATGTATGTATGTGCATATGCATGTATGCATGCATGTATGCATGCATGCATGCATGCATGTATGTATGTGTGAACGTATGCATGCATGTATGTATGTATGCAAGTATGTATGTATGTATGCATGCATGCATGTATGTATGTATGTATGCATGAATGCGCGCGTCTGTATGTATGTACGCATGTCTGCGTGGCTGTATGTATGTATGTACGTACGTACCTATGTATATATGTATGCATGTACGTGTGCACACACATATATATATATATATGTATCGGTTTACGCATATGTATTCGTATATGTGCATGTATATGCACGTGTACATGTATATCTATATGTATATGCATATGTATATGTATATGCATATGTTTAGTATGTGTAGTTATCGGTATTCGTATATGTGTAGTATGTATGTTTGTACGTATGTATGTGTCTGTCTGTCTGTCTGTATGCACGTATGCATGCATGCATGCTTGCATGCATGTATGTATGTATGTAGGTAGGTAGGTTGGTATGTATGCGTGTGTACATGTCTGTATGTCTGTATGTATGTATGTATATATGTATGTGTCTGTCTGTCTGTCTGTCTGTCTGTATGTCTGTCTGTCTGTCTGTCTGTCTGTCTGTCTGTCTGTCTGTATGTATGTATGTATGTATGTATGTATGTATGTATGTATGTACGTACACATTTATGCATGCATGCATGCATGTATGCATGTATGTATGCATGTATGTATGAGTGTATGTATGTATGTATACATGCATGCATGCATGGGGTCCGGGCCCCTGAACGACTCCTCTCAGGTTTGAGGATTGAGGCTTAGAGGATTAGGAATATGACCAGATGGCATGCCCACTCCGTGCCGAAGGGCACGGTGGCGTGTGCATATGTATATACCTGTATAAACAGAAGCAGCAAGAGAGAGAGAGAGAGAGAGAGAGAGAGAGAGAGAAAGAGAGATAGAGAGAGAGAGAGAGAGAAAGAGCGAGAGAGACGGAGAGAGCGAGAGAGACGGAGAGAGATCATAAGAGGTCAAGCATCGGAAGGGGGGAGGAGGGATGTGGTTGATGCCCGCATGGGGGCAAGGCGAGGAGATCACACGTGGGCGTGAGAGGGGGAACGTGAGCTCACCAGGCGGAGTACACCACGGTGTCGGATTTCCGCGAGGCCCGATGCCGCGCGCTAGGGGCCCAGCGGCCGCTCGTCCATCGGGGCCTGGCGTCAGAGGCCTGGGATGTCGGCAGCGCGCGCGTGGCGTCGTCGCCTCGCCGCTCCTCATCGCGGCGCGCGGGGGGGCAGACGCTCAGAGCAGAGAACGATACCGCTGCCTCTGCTCGTCCTGGAGAGCCACGGCTGAATTGTTCTCGAGGTTCAGGTCAGAACGCACTCCAGGAGCGGGGTGGGGAGCAGCGGTAGCGGTATGTTTTTGCCCCCCCCAGACGCCCGCGCCAACGGCTGCGGCTTGGCGAGAAGGGCAGCGTTGCAGCATTGACTGGCCGATCGGATGTTGGTGGATCGAGAAGAGGCCTGCAGAAAGCCGAAGTGTGTCGAATGGTGTCGACACCATGGCGCCATGTTGTGCGATGGGAAGATCGGTGGTGGTGCGCATCAGGCCTGTTGGGCCAAGCGGCCAGGTGGTCAGTGGACTGTTTGCCATTTCGTGCCATCTTCGTGCCTCCCGTCGGCAACACAAGTCCTTGATGCTTCGCGTATCCCCGCCAGCCCATTCTGACAACATTCCGAGGCGAGTTGTCGTAGAACAAGTAGCGGAGGAGCATATTTCTGTGACGTAACTGGGAGGGCACCAGTCAAACCGAAGGCGTCACCAGTCGTCTCTAAATGGCTAACTTGGAGCTTTTGCATCCCCTCTGGCCTCACCATCGGACATTCCTGGGAGTTCATTTTTGAAGAACTTGTGGGGACTTTTTTTGTGGTAGCCTCTTGGGCTTTCTTCAGGCCATGTTGGAAGCAGTCGGCCAAAAAAGAGTGCTGGTTTGCTATTTTTTTTGGAGACCGAGAGATCGCCTCTCGGGGCACTCTTGGGGCTCTCTTGGGGTGCTCTTGGGGGCCTTCGGGGCTCTAGTGGGGCCTCGCGGCCTCCTGGGAGCTCTAGGGAAATCCTGGAGCCCTTGGTTTGCTTGTTTGGCCTTCAACAACTAATGGTCTTGGGGTGTGTTGCAGTTGTTTGACGGCGTTTTCGGCAGTTCTGAAATCCTCTAGAGACCGAAAAACAGGAGCGCCACGAAGCAGGATATGGGGTGTTGCGTGTGTGGGGGGGGGTATTGAGGATGCTTTCGTCGCGAGGGGGAAGTTGGGTTACCTCTGGAAGGCTACAAGCAGCCGTGCAATATCATAAGCAGGCATTCCAAGACGCCCCGGCGAGCCGAAGGCACGGTGGCGTGTTGCGCCAGCGCCATTTCCTTTGCTCTTCCACGCTCTCCCCCCGCTTCGTCCTCTGATACCCAGCTTCATTCCGACACTTCTGCTCGATTTTGGTCAGCCACATTTGTTGTGCGTTTCCTTCTGAGGTTCCACGAGACCCGCTGCAACCGCGGGGCCTACTGCAACTTCATGCACATCAAGCACATCCCTCGAGCAATCAAGCGCCGTGTCGTGCGTGAGGTGCGCTGGATGGAAGATGGGGAGGGACTAAAGGGATCGAGGGTGGATGACATTTTATATGTATACGTATTTGTATGCATACGTATATGTGCATGTATATGTAAATGTGTATATCTTTACATGCAGACGTATGTAATAATCAGTGCGTATATCTTTTCATATGTGTATGTATTTGTATATGCTTAGATACATGTACCGAAACGTGCATATGTTGAGGTATATGTATATGTATATGTATGTTTTCTTGTATATGTTAGGTGTATGGATATGTATGTAATATGTATGTATGCATATATATATGTATTCGCATCCATGCAGCATAGTTCTAGATATGTATATGTGTGGGTGTATATATGTGGTTGATATGTAGGTGTCTGGGTTTTGTGTATATGTATATATATATATATATATATATGTGCATGTATATGTATACGTACACGTCGATGTAAACGCATGTGCGTATGTATGTGTATACGTATAGATATCGTCATATGTAGTTGTTCATGTCTATTTATGACTATAGAGGTGTATGTACATGTATATGTATAGGTGGATGCAAACATAACGTATACGTGCAGGGATATGTACGTTTACATGTTTATGTATTCGTATATGTATACGTTTATGCATATGCAGATGTATGTGTACATGTATATGTATAGGTGTATGTTATTGTATACGTGTGTGTATATATGCATATGTTTATGTACATGTATACGTATGCATATATACACATATACATATATTTATGTTTAGGCACATGTACGTGTATGTGTACATGTAATTGCGTGTGTATATGGATACGCACGTGTATGTATATGTATATGTATATGTATATGTATATACATTTGTACATATATACTATCATGTATATGTATGTATAAAGCTACCCTGCTGTATTTATATATATATATATGTATATGTATGTGTTTATGCTTATGCACATGTATAAGTATGTGTATGTAAATATGTATGTATTTGTATATGCAGCTGTATCTATATCTATATGTATATGCATATGTGTATGTTTACGTAAATGCATCTGTATATATATGTACAACCTATAGTATTTGTGTATGTGTATAGGTGTGTGTATATATGTACGCATGAATGTAGGTATGTACGCATGTATGTATGTATGTATATGCACAGGTATATGTGTATGTTGTACACATATTCAGTATGAATAGCCGAACCCCTTTCTATATTTGTATTTGTGTATGTATGTATATATATATATATATGATTGTTTATCTCGTCTCCCAAGAGCATAATCTCTCGTCTTATCCTCTGCTTGTTCCTCTTATCCATTTATTCATACTCCTCTGCTTCCGTCTTCGTCTTAGTATTCTTTTCGCTCTTTCTCTCTCTGCCTCTTCTTTTCCTCCTCCTCCTGCTCCTTTCCTCCTCCACGCCCCCCAGAGACAGTGCGCCGGACAGGGAAGCCCATAAAAATGCAGATATTCGTTGTATGTTTGAAGATTTTGGTACGGAAGCCTGGTGCAAGCACAGATTTTCTATATATGTTTGAAGATTTTCGTAAGGGAACCCAGTGGAAACACAGATATTCTGGATTTTGTAGAGGCCTCTGGCCTATGCCGCCGATCCGGGACGCTCTGGGATGCTCTGTGCGAACTCGTCGTCTTCTTTAATAGCTTGTGAGCTGTACCTCGAGGAGGAGGAGGAGGAGGAGGAGGAGGAGGAGGAGGAGGAGGGGAACAAGGAGGAGGAGCAGGAGGAGGAGGAGGAGGAGGAGGGGAAGGAGGGCGTTGGCAGTCGTCTTGGGGAAGGAGGGCGTTGGCAGTCGCCTTGGGCAGTATGATGTATTGAATGGAACGTTTGCGTCGTGTCCATCAGTCGAGCGTGTTGGCGGGCTAGTTCCCTGACGGGTTTGCTCGTCGCTGGGTCGTTGGGCTTAGGAGCCCCGGACCGGGCCCCAGCCCCGGCCCTGGCCTGTCGGGAGGGACACCATCTTCGTGAGGGGCGTCTTTTTCCGAGGGTCAGAGCGCTCGGCCCACATCTGGGCCACGGAACCAGCAGAGGTCTCCGGCCCGTCGGGAGGGAAACCATTTTCGTGAGGGTCGCCAGTTTTCGTGGGCCGGGGCGCTCGGCCCACAAATGGGCCACGGAGCCGACAGAGGTCTCCAGCCCGCCGGGTGGGGGGGGCCGGGGCCTGGGCGCCCGGCCTACAACTGGGCCACGCAGCCGGCAGAGGTCTCTGGCCCGTCGGGAGGGGCGGCATCCTCGTGTGGGTCGCCACTCTTCGAAGGCCAGAGCGCTCGGCCTACAAGCCGATCGCGGAGCTGGCACAGGTCTCTGGCCCGTCGGGAGGCGTACCATCTTCGAGAGGGTCGGTATTATTTCGTTTGGCTGGTGTGCCCTGCCCACAAGGCCACGGAGCTGGCAGAGGAGGGGCACCATCCTCGTGATGGTCGCCACTTTTCGAGGGCCAGCGCGCCCGGCTCACAACTGGGCCACGGAGCCGGCAGAGGTCTCCGCCCCGTCGGCAGAGGTCTCGGGAAACTCAAGTCTCATGGCTATATGTATATTCCCCAATCAGAGCTTGCCTCTGTAGGGGTCCCAGCGGATTCAAATGGTTAGGTGAGGTTTGACGCCGATTTCGGCGGCACGCCCGGGTGCTTGGTAGCCCTGTAGCCCTATAGCCCTATAGCCATATACCCTTATGGCCTTATAGCCCTATAGCCCTATAGCCCTGTAGCTCTATAGCCCTATAGCCCTGTAACCTCAATAGCCCTAATGGCCCGATAGCCTTACAGCCTTATAGTCTTATAGCCTTATAGCCCTATAGTCCTGTAGCCCTGTAGCCCTATAGCCCTATAGCCCAATTGCCCTATCGCACTATAGCCCTATAGCCCTATAGCCCCATAGCCCCGTAGCCTTTTAGCCCTATAGCCCTATCGCACTATAGCCCTATAGCCCTATAGCCCCATAGCCCCGTAGCCCCATAGCCCTATAGATATTCGGATGTTTTTTTTTGTTGTTTCTCCAGTCTCGTATGTGTTCTCTCTCATATATAGACATGTACGTGGGGAACATGTAAAAAGGTATGTACTTGCGCATGCAGACATATGTACACATTCGTATACATAGGGGCATCTGAGATATGTGTATTTGTGGTTGTAATTGCATGTGTATAGGTGTCTGTACATATGTATGTGTTTTTCAATGTGCTGGTTTGGCATGTGTAGGCGCATGCGCATATGTATGTATGTATGTATGTATGTATGCATGCATGCATGCATGCATGCATGTATGTATGTATGTATGTATGTATGTAGGCATCTATATGTATATGTATGTATATATATATGTGTATGGTCATGTATGTGCATATGCATATGTCTATGTACATATCATTGTGCATGTGTATGTGTATATATAGATATCTGTATGCATGTAGGCATGTAGTTGTGTACCATGTATGTGCTTGTTTATGTGTTTGTATACCACACATAGAGGGATATGTATACATGCAACTGTGTATGTGTATCTGTTTGCATATGCACATGCTGATCTGTATGTATTTGTACATGCAATTGCGTAAGTACATGTATGTGTTTACCTCTATGTACATACACATGCAGATGCATATGCACATTTATCTATGTATATACGTTTTGCTATACATCTTTGCATACGCCAACGTATATATGACTATGTATACGTATACGAAAATGCATAACTGTCCATACGAAAATGTATGCACGTCCACGTGCATGTGCATACGAACGTGAATCTGCATATGGACATGTCTGTGCCTGTTTACTTGCGTATGCATATGTTTGCGTTTGTTCATATGGATGTACATATACATATAGCTGTATATATGTGGACATGTGGACATGTGTATGTGTATGTGTATGTGTATGTGTATGTGTAACTGCATATGTACAGGTATACTTGTATGCATGTGTACATGTATACGTACATGCATATGTATAGGTGTATGCCTGCGTATGTGTATATGTAACATGTATGCATATGTGTGTATTCACATGTATATTTACATGGGTATGCGTATACATATGTGTATATACATGTATATGTACATAGGTAGGTGTATCTGTTTAGTATAATGGGTTTGTTCATGTGTCTATCAATCCGTACTGTCCACGTATACGTATTTGTCTGTGTATGTGTATGTGTGTATACTCATGTGTATGTGCATGTACACGTTTATGCTTGTGTATGTGTATGCGTATGCGGATGTGTATGTGTATGCTTATTTGCATATGTCTATGTGTATGCATTGGTTTTGTAAAGGTGTCTGCGTATGCCTGGTTGTATGTATGTGCATGGGTATCTGCACCTGTATGTGTATATGCATATGAGTAGGCATCGGTACAATCGTATACACATGTCTATGTTCAGGTATAGGTGCATTGACATGCACACGTTTTTGTATGTGTATACGTATATGTATATGCATATGTGTATACATGCGTACATGTTTGTGTGTAGGATAACGTATACCACTGTGCATGTACACTGGATTTCGTGTGTGCACATGTATGTGTATATGTTTTGCGGAGTCGTACGTACATGTATATGCATATGTCGATGCACCTGTTTATGTAAGTGTGTCTGTATATGTACATATATATGTACGTACATGCACGTCTATGTATATGTTAATTCCCCACATGCTTAGTGGGGTTCTGGTTTTCTTCCCTGCCTCGTCGCACCCGCGGCCCTCACACACCACCTTCCTCCTCCCTCTCCTTTCACACAACACATCACAGCGCAGCACAGCGCAGCACAGCGCAGCGCAGCACAGCTCAGCACAGCACTGCACAGCACAGCATAGCACCTCAACACAGCACAGCTTATCTCAGCACAGCACAGCTCAGCACAGCACTGCACAGCACAGCAAGCGCACCACAGTGCAGCAGAGCACAGCACAGCTCATCTCAGCACAGCATTGCACAGCACAGCACAGCACCTCAGCACAGCACGCCTCAGCACTACACAGCACAGCACAGCACAGCACCTCTGGACACCATAGGGGGTGCGCAGCAAGTGGTCTCTGAGCGCGGCCGCTATCCACGACACTGTCGAAAAAACCTAGCAGGCGTGGCATTTTCTGGGCACCATAGGGGGTGCGCAGGGGGTGGTCTCTCAGCGCGACCGCTATCCACGACACTGTCGCAAAGCCTAGCAGGCGTTGCATTTTCTCGACACCATAGGGGGTACGCAGGGGCTTGTCTCTCAGCGCGGCCGCTATCCACGACACTGTCGCAACGCCTAGCAGGCGTGGCACTTTCTAGACACCATAGGGGGTGCGCAGGGGGTGGTCTCTCATCGCGGCCGCTATCCACGACACTGTCGTAAAGCCTAGCAGGCGTGGCACTTTCTGGACACCAAAGGGGGTGCGCAGGGGGTGGTCTCTCAGCGCGGCCGCTGTTCACGACGCTGTCGCAAAGCCTAGCAGGCGTGGCACTTTCTAGACACCATAGGGGGTGCGCAGGGGGTCGCGGCCGCTAGCCACGACACTGTCGCAAAGCCTAGCAGGCGTGGCACTTTTTGGACACCATAGGGGGTGCGCAGGGGGTGGTTTCTCAGCGCGGCCGCTATCCACGACACCTGTCGCAAAGCCTAGCAGGCGTGGCACTTTCTGGACACCATAGGGGGTGCGCAGGGGTGGTCTCTCAGCGCGGCCGCTATCCACGACACTGTCGCAAAGCCTAGCAGGCGTGGCACTTTCTGGACACCATAGGGGGTGCGCAGGGTGTGGTCTCTCAGAGCGGTCGCTATCCACGACACTGTCGCAAAGCCTAGCAGGCGTGGCACTTTCTGGACACCATAGGGGGTGCTCAGGGGGTGGTCTCTCAGCGCGGCCGCTGTCCACGACACTGTCGCAAAGCCTAGCAGGCGTGGCACTTTCTGGACATTATAGGGGGTACGCAGTGGGTGGTTTTCAGCGCGGCCGCTATCTACGACATTGTCGCAACGCCTAGCAGGCGTGGCACTTTCTGGACACCATCGGGGGGGCGCAGGGTGTGGTCTCTCAGCGCGGCCGCTATCCACGACACTGTCGCAAAGCCTAGCAGGCGTGGTACTATTTGGACACCACAGGAGGGTGCGCAGGGGGTGGTCTCTCAGTCCACGACACTGCCGCAATGCCTGGCAGGCGTGGCATTTTCTGGACGCCACAGGGGGTGCGCTGGGGGTGCGGTCGGTGTCCGTTTCGGGCTCGCAACGTGTGGCAGGCGTGGCACTTTCTGGACGCCACAGGGGGTGCGTTGGGGGTGCGGTCGCTACCCGTTTCGGCCACGCAAAGCGTGGCAGGCGTGACACTTCCTCGACGCCACAGGGGGTGCGCTGGGGGTACGGTCGCTATAGGTTTCGGGCCCGCAACGCGTGGCAGGCGCGGTACATTCTCGATGCCACAGGGGGTGCGCCGGGGGTGCGGTCGCTATCCGTTTCGGCTTCGCAAAGCGTTGGCAGGCGCGGCACATTCTCGACGCCACAGGGGGTGCGCTGGGGGTGCGGTCGCTATCCGTTTGGTTCGCAAAGCGTGGCAGGCGTGGCAACTTCTCGACGCCGAAGGGAGTGCGCTGGGGGTGCGGTCGCTATCCGTTTCGGGCTCGCAAAGCGTGGCAGGCGTGACACTTTTTCGACGCCACAAGGGGGTGCGCTAGGGGTACGGTCGCTATCTGTTTCGGGCTCGCAAGGCGAGGCAGGCGCGGTACTTTCTCGATGCCACAGGGGGTGCGGTCGCTATCCGTTTCGGCTTCACAAAGCGTGGCAGGCGTGGCCTTTTCTCGATGCCACAAAGGGGGTGCCTTGGGGGTGCGGTCGCTATCTGTTTCGGACTCGCAAAGTGTAGCTGGCGCGGCGCTTCTCCTCTTCCACCTCTCCTCCAGAGTGGCGTCACCAACGGTATCGGCGGGGCAAAGGCTATCAACATCATTCACACATGCTTCACTTCAGATATCATCACTCCAGCCATACTTTAAATATGTGGGGTTCCTCGGTAGCGTAGTTCATATGAACATGTATAGGTATATAGGTGTATATATATATATATGTGGTTGTGTTTCTGTATTGTATACGCATATGTATACATGTATATGTGTATGCGTGCATGTATGTATGTCGATGTGTATGTATAGGTGTATGACTATACATATGTGTATGTCTATGTTTAGGTATATATATAAAGCGTATGTATGCTCACATGTATACATGTATACTTTTATACATATGCATGCATGTATGTATGTATGTATGTATGCATGTATACATGTATAAAGATATGTATGTATATATATGTATGTATGTATGTATGTATGTATGTATGTATGTATGTATGTATGTATGTATGTATGTATGTATGTATGTATGTATGTATGTATGTATGTATGTATGAATGTGTGTATATATATGTATGCACACATAAACAATATATGTTTGCACACATTCGTTTTGGAGGTGGCTGGGTGAAATTGCAATGAAAATGATGGTCCCCCAATCGGTTTCGGTTTCGTGTCTGCGTCGTGCGCGAGGCGAAGCAGTGTGGGTGGACGGGAGGAATGAACCTTTGTTTGGCTAGGGCGCCGCTGGGTTGACACACCGCGCCACCATGGGTTGTCTGGCGGCGGCCTGTGGTATCACGCGGGTGTCCCGACGGTGTCCTGTCGGTGTCCCGTCGGTGTCCCGTCGGTGTCCCGTCGGTGTTCCGTCGGTGTCCCACTGGTGTCCCGTGGGTGTCCCGTCGGCATCCCGTCGGTGTCCCGTCGGTGCCCCGCCGGTGTTCTGTAGTGAGATCGATAGTGAGATCGAAGGTGATACCGATAGTGAGATCGATACTAAGATCGATCGTGAGATCGATAGTGGGATCGAATGTGACGTCGATCGTGAGCTCTGCAGTGAGATCGATAGTGAGATTGATAGTGATACCGATAGTGAGATAGGTAGCGAGATCGATAGCGAAAGCGATAGAGAGATCGATAGTGATACCGAAAGTGAGATTGTTGGTGAGAGGGATAGTGAGATCGATAGTGAGATCGATAGTGAGATCGATTTTGAGATCGATAGTTGGATCGGTAGTGTGATCGATTGAGTGAGATCGGTAGTAAGATCCATAGTGATGTCCCTTTGCTGTCCCATCGCTGTGTCCCGTCGGTGTCCCGTCGGTGTCCCGCTTGTGTCCCGTAGTGAAATTTATAGTGAGACCGATAGTTCGGTCGATCGAAAGATCGATAGTGAGATCGATAGTTCGATCGATCATGCTATCGATAATGAGATTGATAGTGATATCGGTAGTACTTCGAGTCAGTGAGACGGTGGTTCCTTCCCCCGGAACCTCCTCCTCACCAAAAGGGTGGCCATGTAAATATATATATATATATATGTATATGTGTATGTATATGTATATGTATATGTATATGTATATGTATATGTATATGTATATGTATACGTATATGTATATGTATATGTATATGTATATGTATATGTATATGTATATGTATATGTATATGTATATGTATGTGTACATGTATGTGTACATGTATATGTATATGTATATGTATATGTATATGTATATGTATATGTATATGTATATGTATATGTATATGTGTATGTATGTGTATGTGTATATGCATATGTATATGTATATGTATATGTATATGTATATGTATATGTATATGTATATGTATATGTATATGTATAGGTATATGTATATGTATATGTATATATGTGTATGTATATGTATATGTATATGTATATATAATATATATATATATATATATATATGTGTATGTATATATATGGATAGAGAGCGAACGAGAGAGAGGGAACGCAAGAGAGGTCAAGGCGGAGTAGTCTTCATGCCTGTCCTCTCCACCAGCGCGGCGCATTGGCTGCTCCTTCGTCAGGCGTCTTCGGAGCCCATGGAGACACAAGACACACGAGGTCAGTTCGATCGATCTGAAAGCGCATCTTTGCCGACTCTCTGGATCAAAGTCCAAGACTTCTTGCCAGTGCACCCTGGGCGTCCAGGTCCGGTGGTGCGACCGTGCGGCCTTCTTGGCGGCCTTCAGGACGGCCCAGAGGCGCCCGAGAGGGATCTTGGCTGCGCTAGCAGCGTGGACCATCTGAGGCTGCGCCAGCCGTGTGGGCCATCCAAGGCGTCGCTCCCGAGGCCTCTGCAAAAAACGTTACGTGGCCAGGGACCGCCCAGGAGCGACCAGCACCTCGGGGGACTCCGGGGGCGCCGGGCCCCTGACAGTCGTGGGCGAACAGTGTGTCCGTACCCGCGGCTTCGCGGGCCGGGTTCCTGGGCCGCGGCCCCGAAGATGCGGGGCGGTTTTTCAGTGATGACCCGCGCGGAAGGTGTCTGTGCGACTGCGCGCTCCCCAGAGTCCAGACCGCGAGTTCGTGGATACGGATATGTTCGCCGCTCATGAGATAGATGGATTGTTGGCAGTGCTCGGCAGTACAGCGACCTGAAAGGGACCCGTGGACACTTCGCTTCGTGCCTGTGGGCACTGTGGCGGACTCCTCAGAAGAAAGGACTCAACCGTAATCCAGGCCTCGGGCCCCACTGCAGCCACGCACCCAGGGCCAGGGTAAATCGGACGGTCATTGGCCACACCCCACACGCTCCCCCGCCCTCCTCATTTCCCTCGTCCTTCTTCCCCGGTCCCTCGTCGTCGTCGTTGTCGTCGTCCTCATCCTCCTCCGCGTTCCCGCGATCCTCGCGATCCTCCCCCTTCCCACGCGCAGATGTACGACGACCACCCGGAGTATCTGGGGCAGACTCGTAGCAAGACAGCACGCCGCCTGCCTCTGCCCTCAACTCTCTTTGCCCCCCCTCTCTCTTCTCCTTCTCCCCTCCCCGGCCTTTCCCCTCCCCCCCCGCATCTCTTCACTCCCCCCTCCCCCTGGCATTCCTCTTGCGTCTACGAATGCACAATCTTACTCTCCTCTCTCCCCTGACTCTGTGCGGAAGATGTCCGGCCCCCTCGGCGCCTTTTTTTACAGGATTAGGCCGAGTTGTTTTTTCCCCTTGTGTTCGTACATTCTGATCGTTTTCGATGTTTCAAAGATGGTGGTCCCGCTGCAGCGTGGGCCTCATTTTCGGATCGGCGCTGTGCTCCCGTCGTTCAGAATGGTGCTCTCGCCTTAGCGCGGGGCACTTTTTTGGATACGAGTCCTTTTCCATCGTTGTCCCTCGTTCCCCTCCTAAGCCTTACCCTGGTTCTCTTGCTCCTCCCACTCCTTCAACTCCAGTTCCTGCTGCTCCTGCTCGTCCTCGTCCTCCCTCTTCCTCATCCTCCTTTTCCTCCTTCTCATTCCCATGCTCGCCCACCACCACCCCCATCTCCTCGTCCTCCTCCTCCTCCTCCTCCTCCTCCTCCTCCTCTTCGTCCTATGCACGCAGCTACCCTGTTGCGATTGCGCATAACACGATTGGGACTTTTTGGAGTTCCAGGTCGGCTATGCCACACGTCCAGGGATGGAGCAGAAATCAGCGCAATGGGAAGGGATGGGAGGTCGGGATGAGATGTCAGATATGGCGCGAGCGCACCTTGCTTGCCCCCCCCCTCTGTCATCTCTCTTCTCCCCGTGTCCGCTGACCCGCTCGACCCGGCCAACCTGAGACCTCCTGCGTACCTCTACTCCCGATCCCTGCTCTCTTGCTCCGGCTTCTCTCTTTCCCCCTGCCCATCCTCAGCTAGCCATTTGGTTCAAGCAATTCTCTCTCGGAGACGCCTTCGGCCCATCCCGCTACTGTGCCTGGGTCGTGGATCGGAGGTCTCTTGGAAGCCTCTTGGGTCTCGGTCCTCTTGGAGAGGCCTCCTGCTGTCCTCGAATGGGCCTCGAGTGGGCTTTCCGGGGGCATCTTGGGCACAATTCAGCCGTGCGGAAACGTGTTGGAGCCCTCTGCGGACTCTCTTGTAACGTCTTGGCGCGGTCCTGGGCCGCCTTGGGGCCCTCAGGCCGTCTTGAGCCGCCGTTGGTGCCTCTTGGGGTCTCCTTTGGCTGTCTTGGTGGTTCTTGGGGTACTTTTGGGTCATTTTGGAGCTCTCTGAACCCATCTTGTAACCATATTGAACCGAGAAGCCGAACAGGGGAAACGTCTGAACGTCTTTTTGGGACTTTGACAATTTTGGTTGTCTAGGGCCTCTTTGATGGTGTTGGAGCCTCTCGTTGAAAATCTTATTGTCCCCCTGGTGCCCTCGGGGCCGCGTGGATCCTCCAAAGGGTCTCGTGAGCCTTCGTGGGCGCTTCTTGGAAGGCTCGCGGGGAATCTTTGGGCCGTTCTGGGCGGGTTTGTCCTCCAGGCAGCTCCCGCCAGCACACCTGGGGAGCGCTCTCGAACGCCTGGGAACTCCAGCAGATCGGGGGTCGGGGGCTCTGTGAGTGCTGTGGCCTCCCCAACACTTGCAAGAGACCGTTTTTTTTGCATCCTCTGCCGATCACGGGCGTGACCATGGAGGGGAGGGGAACGGGGGATGGGCCGGTCCCGTTTTCGGCGCCAGCGGGACTCGTGACGTGATCAGGGGGGCGGGGGAGAGAGGGGACGGGCGGGGCCGGACCCAGGCCGTTCTCTCGGAGAATACAGAACGGATTCCAATTGTATGAGCACTGGGGTACGGCGCTTTTGTTGCGTGCTGAATCGGAGAAGAAGAATAATGATACGACTAATTATAATACTAGTAGTACTGATACTAGTAGTAGTAAACATAGTAATACTCATAATACTATTGATAATGCAAATGATACGCATAATACTGCAAATTAGCGGCATACACATAAAGTTCCCGCGCGGAGCGCCAACAAATTATGCTTATGCCGTTTCTCTTTTCCTCTGTCGAAGAACAAGGTGGCGGATCGCAGGTCGGCCGCGGGCGTAGTGGGCGCGCAGCGTCTCGGGCGCCGTCAGTGGTTCAAGCTGCCAGCGCCTGGGCGTCGGCAGTCGCCTTTGAGAGAAGCAGCTCCCCGCGTGGCGGTCGCCGAGGCGTGGCTCGTCTCTGCGGAAGGCAGGGTCCAGGATGCCTTTTCTCGGAGGGTCGCTGATGAGGTGGGGCTCCTTTGGGTAGGTGGATCTCTCAAGCTCTCCGCGCCGCCTCTGGTGGTGTGCGCTGCGAGCAGGAGCACGGCAGAGCCACAGGGAAGCGCGGCAGTGACAGTGTAGCTCCGCACACGTGACACAGGTTGACGAGCCGGAGCACAGCAACGCCCCGCGTTGCCGGCCCGCTGGGCGAGTGCGACGACGAGGCGGAGCGGCTCGCGCCGGGGCGCGGCCCCGGCCGTGCGGGAGGCAGGGACCTCCGCGTGTGCGGCCACGCGCAGAGGGGGGCGGGGGGGATTGGGGGGGAGGGCTGCTGAGAAGCACCCCTGCTTCTTGGAAGGCGCGGGCCTTCTCTACGGATGTGAGGCCGGCGCCCTCTAAGAAGCAGCCTCCTTCTAAGACGCCCTCCCCCTCCCTCCACCCCCTTGTGCGCGCCGCCAACTTACGCCATGTGCCTGCTCTCAAGGGGGGGGTGCCCTTTCGAGAGCGTCGGCGGCGGGACCTGGCAATGACGGGTCGCAGGGCAGAGGCCAGGGCTCGCGCGCGGGCAAGGGTGTGTGGTGAAGGCCAGAACGGGTGCCAGCCAGGAAGAGAAGCGCGCGTGCGGGTGGACTTCAGCGTCTGTCCAGGGTCCCAGGCACCAGTATGCACTTTCGTCGTGTACGAGGAGCAGGGCGGGACGGATTTCTCAGTAAGCGGGATACCACCAGCAAGAACAGCAAGAGGAGCGTCGACGAGCCCGCGGCGATCCTGGAGGCCCGGGACAAGACGGAGGATAATGGCGCCAGGAAGGCAGTGGATACCATGTCTGTCGGCCTGCCGCGACGGGATGCAGGCCACGGCTGCGGGCGTCGAGTGCCGGGCAGAGGGCGAGGGCCAGCAGGCGTTGGCTTCGCAGCCCACGTGCAGGAGGCCGCTGTGCCGCTCGTGCGGCTCGGAGCAGGCAGTGGTGAAGGTTGCCTCGAGGCCAGGCCTCGTGGCCAAGATGACGAAGAGCACCCGAAGCTGTGAGGCAGTCTCGATGCGGTGGGGCCTCGGGGATGGTCGGCGGTGCCGTGCCTGGCAGGTCGCTTGCTCGACGACGGCCATGTGGGGGCCGAGGTTTGCGAAAATCTTGAGAGTGTGCTGTGCCCAGACATGTGGTTGCACCTCCTTTGTAGAAAGGACGACGAGCACGTTATAGTGCAGGTCTCCGTCCAGCTGCGTATCGATCAGGACGTTCAGAGCTCACCATCCACAAGGTTGACAGCGTCGGCGCACTGTTTAATACTTGGGCCCGCTGGCCCGCCATCACGCCGACGTCGGAGCATGCCTCGGCAGCGACTGATCAGGCATCCGTTGATATCCTCAGTGCCCGCCCTCGACGTACGGCCCCGTGCGGAGTGCAGACCCCCAGCGCCATCATTCTGTGCTGAAGTGTAGCAGGGCAGCGCGGACCCAGAGCGTGGGCAGCTCAGCTTCCCCAGACTGGTTGGGGTGTGGCTTTCCCCGTGCACTTCCGAGGTAAGAGCAATGCTGGCCCATGTGCTGCTGCCCGCCCGCGGTCACGCGGACGGGCGGGTGAAGCAGATCATCGTTGGACTGCGCGGGTCCTTCTGGTCTCTTCTCCAGCCGCCCCCCCCCTCTCCATCTTCCCCCCCCCCAGGTGGCCACCCGATGGGAAGAGGGCCGGGGAGGAAGAGGGAGGGGGCAGGGAGGGGGAAGAAGGTGGGGGGCAGGGAAGGCAGGGGAACGCGATGAGAGGAGAAGGGGTGTCTGTGAGGAAGGAGGGAAGGAGGGAAGGAGGGATTCCGATCTGCGTTCCGATTTCTCACGGGTGGCGCACCAGCTTGCCGATGTCCTCCGATTCGACTTCTCCCGACTTGGCCGCCGATTTCCGCCGATCCGACTCATTTCGATCGCCGATTCGACTCATCGATTCGATGCTGGGCCCTCCTGCCCTCCCGCGCCGTGAAGCAGGGGCTACTCCGAGTTTCTTGATCAGCGTCGGGGGGGCGTCATCCCCTCTCCGACAGCCCCGCGTCGACGCCCGTCGCGGGCAGAAACACCGCGCGCCGAAGGCGCACCGACCCCCTCGCGGCGCGGCGACGAGGCGAGGCCGACCCCCGTCGGGGGGGGACCCCCCCACGCTTGTTAAGAAACCCAGAGTACCCCCCTACGCTTATTAAGAAACTCAAGTTATACAGATCTAGCCTGCACGGTTTCCCCTCGGGCCGTAGAGGGGAGGAGGAGGGGAGGAGGGGGAGGGGGAGGAGGAGATGGAGGAGGAGGAGGGGGAGGAGGGGGAGGAGGGGGAGGAGGAGGAGGAGGAGGAGGAGGAGGAGGAGGAGGAGGAGGAGGAGGAGGAGGAGGAGGCGGAGGATTAACTTCGATCGCCGATCCGACTTATCGATTCGATTCTGGGATCGCCAATGTCGACCTCCCTCCCTCTCCCCTTGTGTCCACCTGTCCACCGCGGTGCCTGATGTGTCCCGCCGTGGTGTCCGCATGGTGTCCGTCGCAGTGTCTGGAGGACCGACCTGCGCCTGGACTTGCAAGTCTCGACTTGTGCTGACTGCGCCCGCCAGGGCGCCAACTGGAACACGCGGTTGCTGTGTGTCTCGTGCGCCCGAGGAACTCTGACGTCGGTGCCTCGCCGGCCTGTTGCCGCTCGCGCCCCCCGCTCGGCCTCGCGCGGTGCGGCGCGCCGCCCCCGCCTGCCCGCCGGCAGGAAAGAGAAGGACAAGGACCGGGACCGCGACCGCGACCGCAAGAAGGACAAGGACAAGGACCGGGACCGCAGCCGCAGCAGGCGCGGGGGGGGGCCCTCCCCCCCTCCCTCTCTCCCCGCTGGTCTTCGGCGGCCCCCGGGCGCGCCGTGCGCACCTCGGGGCGCGCCTCGGCACGGGAGCCCGCGCGCTCCCCCTCGGGGGGCACGGCGCGTGCTCTCTCCCCCTATGGGGAGGGGCCGGCTGCCCAGCGGTGGCCCAGGAGCGCCCCCGGGCGTCGGGAGGGCCCACGCGGAGCCTCCTGGGAGCGCCCTGGGCTCGAGCGACTTGGGGGTCTGGGGGCCCTTGCGTGCAAGGCCTGACGTCGAGGAGTGTGGCGGGCACGACGGCGCTCCATTCAGTACCTGCGGCACGGTGGCGGGTGTCCAATCATTCTGTCACAGAGCGCCACTCTTATTCTTGTCGTCTCCCTGTCGGTTGCCCACCATGTGCAAACATTACGTGCACTCTTCGTGTTCAAAGCTGCCATTGCTTTGTCAGCTTGGTGGCCACAGCGATCGTGCCGACCTCCACTTCGGACATCTCATGTATACATAGTTTTGTGTATATATTGGATGGGCAGGCTCTGCCTCTTCTTGTCGGTATGGCGCTCAGTTTGCCTGCTCCCACATTCGGGCGGCTGACTGGCTTGCATGTAAAGTTCATCTTAGACTTGCGGTGCAATTTGCTACACCACGGGCCAGTTGGCTGCCAGAGGGATCCTGGTTTCCATTTGCCTTGTCACGGCGTCACTGGCGTGGGGTGTCACTGACGATTGAGCCCAAGCCTTGCGCGAGACCGCGAAGCTCATTCAGCCGTCTGCGGCGAACCCTGCGACCGTGCAACCGAAGCAGCGCGGCAAGATCCAGAGTCGAGGATCGTGGTTCCTGGATCGCGAGGATCAAGGTTCGTGGTTCCAGCTTCAGGGAGCCGCAGAAGGAGGCGGAGGAGAGTGAGGAGCATCATATCCGCTCCAATTCAGTGCATCGCCTGAACAGCCGCAGGTCTCGAGCATCCCTTCCTTATCTTAACCCTCGTTCTCCACCTCCTCCTCCTCCTCCGTCCTCCTCTTTCCTCCCTCTTCCTGCTCTTTCCTCCTTCCTCCTTCCTCCTCCGTCCATCCTCCTCTTCCTCCTCTTCCCCCCTCATCGCTTCTTCTTCCACGCTTTCTGCAGGCTTCTTGGGGGCTTCTCCGCGAACTGTTGTGGCAGATTCTTGGGGCGCTTGGGGCCAGTTGGGGGCTTTCTGGGCGTCTAGTCTTGGGGCCGTGTTGGACGCGAGGAGTTTTCTTCAGCTGAGCTAAGGCGGCCCAATGAAGACATGTTGTTTTTCCTGTCAGGTCTTGGGGCCACCTTGAAGCTCGCTTGGGGCGGTCTCGGGATGTCTTGGTTCCAGAGCTGCCTTGAATCTCTCGGATGCTTTCTGGAGCTTATCCTAAGACGAACAGCGCCGAAATTAAGCAGTGATGATCTCTCATCGTTGTATCAGGGGTTTTGGACCCATGCAGCCTCGCTTGAGATCTCTCATGTCGCGCCCATCGGGGCTTCTTGGCGTCTCTTGTGAGAACACTGCACGCTCGTCCTGGAATTCTCTCCGCGGTGAGCGCCCTCCTCCCCTAACCTGTCCTTCGCGGCCACCCCTCCCCGCCTGTTCTTCCTGCTGGGGCCAGCCAGTTCGTGTGCCGAGCGTCCCGGCTACTCGAGCGCGCGTGCGGACTGCCTCTGCCACGCTGCGACGTAGAAAGACAGGGGACACGTGGGGGAGAAAGGGGAAGAGGAGGAGAGGCAGGAAAAGGGAGGAGGAGGAGGAGGAGGATGAGGCGGAAGAGGAGGAGGATGAGGAGGAGGTGGAGGAGGAGGAGGAAGAGAAGGAGGAGGAGGAGGGGGAGGAGGCGGAGGAGGAGGAGGAGGTGGAGGAGGAGGGGGAGAAGGTTGAGGAGGAGGCTCTCTTGCCACGCTTCGATGCAGAAAGAGAGAGAGAGAGAGAGATACAGAGAAAGAGAGAAAGAGAGAGAGAGAGAGAACGATGCCCCTTTCCAGGGGGTCTTCGGGCCTCTGCAGAGCCTCGTCGCCCAGGGCCGCCCTGATCGGGCCGAGAGGCCGCTCTGGGGCTCCTCTCCCGGGGCGGTCTCGGCGCGCCTATCGGGGGCAGCGACGGGGGGGGGGGGATGTGCACAGGGGGTATGCATCGACCTCCAATCGCCCCTTGAAGATGCGACCTGCTATGCGACCTGCTACGCGCCCATCGACCTCTATCGACCTCCATCGCCAGGGCCGTCTGATCGGGCCGAGGCAGCTCGTGGGCTCTCTCTGGGGGCGGCCTCGGCGAGTCTATCGGGGGCAGCGACGGGGGGAATATGCATAGGGGGTACACCTTAGGCGATGCTTAAGAAAACTTAAATTTTCGGCCAGAGACTCCATTATTCTTAATGTTTCAATGTAAATCCTAATGTTTGAATGGGAATTTTGGGTTTTATTCAAGTTCTGAGACTATGAATTTCTTAACCCATGATTTCTTAAGCATTTCGCAGGGTGTACTCTGGGTCTCTTAACAAGCGTGGGGGTACCCCCCCGACGGGGGTCAGCCTCGCCTCCTCGTCGCGCCGCGGCGGGG